CTCAGTGGACTTGAGTCTCTTCTTCAAGGCCAGCTCAAAGTCACTGCACCTAGAGGGCTTGGAAGAAGACACTGAGATAAACGGTGGCGAGGAGCTTGGCAGCCAGTTCTGTTGTTAAAGTATTTGCCTTGGGTTCAGGAGGACCTGACTTCTGCCATAAGGGACCACGTTAAAAAGCCAGATGTGGTGGCACATGCTTGTAATATCAATACTGGGAAGGTGGGGACAGGCAGATTTCAGGTGACTAGTCAGTGTAGCTAACTTGTTGAGTTCCGGGCCATTGGAAGACTGTTTCAAAACAAACCAAAACCAAAACCAAACCAAACCAAACAAAAATCACATGGTGAAAAGAGCTTGAAGAATGTATACCTAAGGTTAATCTCTGGTTGCCACATGTGCACATATGCATGTGTGTACACGTGGATAAAGCCATTGGATGTTCATGAAAAGAGCCAACATTCTACGAAGTAGTGCTACAGCTACTGCACTTCAATCTTAAATGTCTCATCCTGAAGACCATGTGTCAAAGGCTTGGTTCCCAGCCCATGGTGCCATTGGAAGGAGGTAGGGGGTTGAACCTTTAGGCAGTAAGTCCTAATGGGAGGAAGTCAGGCCATGGGTGGCATGCCATGGAAGGGGCTCTCAACCCTAACTCTTCCTTGATATTCCCCAGTAGCAATGAGGTCAGGAACAATGGAGACAACTGACCATGGCTAAACTCTAAAACTGTCAAAACAGATTTTGCTTCTTATCACTTGATTGTGCCTGGTATTTTGTCAGAGTGACAGAAAGCAGTAGCATCTGGCTGTCTTTTAGATGACAGATTGTAAAAGAAGTGTAGTGTCTTTCTGATATAGAAGCATTTCTCTGTATGGAGAAGTTTCTCTATGTGGAGACGTTTTATTGTGATCCTGACATCTTGACAAAGTTGTCTCTGTCTTCCTGGGGTTAGAAAAAAGGGAAAGTGCCTGTAAAGTTAAGCCTCATGCCTGCTCAGAAGTGATGCTAAGCCTGTGTTTCTCAGCCAAAGATTTCTGCCCATTATCACTACTGCTGCTGACCGTTCACCTATCTGTCTCTGCCAGGAAGCAGATGTGACAAACACCAACTGGTTCCATAAGCCCTGACGTAGATATCATAGGCAGAAGGTTCTGGAAGAGCCACCAGACAGCACTCAGTAATTTGTAACACTAGTAAATTCACCCATGGAGTTCTAAAAAAAAGGGTCCTTGCTTGGGCTGCACATTCTGAGGCTCTGATCTGACTGGTATAGATGAGACCCCAAGCTTGGGTGTCTCTGCAAAGTCCCTGGTGTGTCCTAAGAGTGTCGGGATTGAGGCCACTGAGAACTTGAGCCTTGTGCCTGGAACTCTAGCAAGGACAACAACTGGAGGACATTTGAAGATGAGACACTGTGGGAGAAAGAAATGGCTGTGGGCAAACCTCTCACTGGATGAACCTCATTTCTAGAGACATCTACAGCAAATGTTCAAAACTGTAGAGTGCCACCCTGAAGAAAATCTGGTGATGGAGAGACATGGGCTGAGTGCTTGAGGGGGACTCCCTCTTGTAGGCTGACCCTCTGCTTGTTTCAAAAATCTGGTGTGCAGACCCTCCTAAGGGTGGACAGCTAAGGTCTGACTCACACCTGCCTGTGTGCAGGCACTGTTCTCAGCACCACTATCAAGGGATGGGGTTTCACTCCTATGTTGTATAACTGGCCTAATGATATCATCATCATCATCATGAGTGAACAGTGACCCTGAGACCAGACACATCTGTGTAGTTTATTGCATGCTAACTTAGGACAGTCTAAATCAAGTAGATATGAAATCGTGAGCCCTCTACTACTCCCTTTTCTGGTAGACTTGTGGAATTTGCGTATAGGACTGCGTTGTTTATTTCCAAATCCTGTGGCTGTCTTATTTATCCACGAATGCCCATTTGCCCTGCCCAGCTTCCTGTGTAAATATGTCATGTGACAGGACTCTGTCCCATAGGAAGAGAGAAATCCATCATTTTCCATAGTCAGTTTGCTGTCCTCTCTCTGAGCCAGTTAGCTGTAGGAAAAGAAAGTGGTCACTACAGAATCTGGACAAACACTGTATGAAGATAAAAGCAAAGCCACCTGGAAAGCCAAAGCAAAAAGATGCCCAAATCCCAAATCATCCCTCAACTGCGGGACCCTTACATCCAGGCTTCCAGAAGGGGATGGGGTTTGAAACCTTACTGTTAATGTCACTATAGGTCTGACTTTTACAAGCTGTAGCCAAGCATGTACCATGTTCTTCTGGAATGCTCGGTTCTTAATGTTTTCCTAAGTCCCTACACTAGAGGCTTGGTCCTCAGGCTATCATCAGGAGATAGTGGATCCTTTGGGAGTTGGGCCATGGAGGAAGGAGGCCAAGTCATGGAGAGCAGGCACTGGGACCTCCAGCTCCTTCCTCTCATTGCTCCCTGGTGCCTGGGAAATGACCAGTTCTATCTCTGATGGTGCTTGGTGTAGTCTTCTGCAGCTAGCTCAACCTCCTTGGCTTGGTTAATTCCTATTTAGAAGCCACCTCTTCCAAGTGGCCCTCCTGGAAATCCTTATGCCCTAGGCATCTCTGTTTTGAGTTCTGTTGCCTTCCCTGCCCAATATTGTAATCTCTAATAGCACATCTGTAAACTTGGAAGAGGTGGTGTGTGTGTTTGCCAGCTCTGTGCTGTCTTCAAAGCCCTGGGATATTACTACTTTAATTCAAAACCAAATGAAACATGCTCATCAGTTTTCCCGGAGGCTTAACACACAACTAGTGCTTAGTCAGCGGTAGCTGCAGCTTTCCTTGAGGCCTAGCTGGCTGAGTTGTCGACCACCCAACACGGTCTCCAAGATTCCATCTCATGCTAAGACAGTTGATTTTCAATGTTAGCAGTTAACCATGTCAAGAGGGCCCCAGGGCCCAGGCAGTTTCTGGGCAAAATGTTTGACCTATGAATTAGCCATAGGCCAATACTTGCATTGGGGAGGGAGATGGTGGGGCAGAGAGGAGGGGCAGGACAAAGAGGTCTAGGCAGGGAAGGAATGGAAGACAGAAGTCCAGGCTGTACCCCTGAAGGGTATCTTCTCTCACCTGGGCAAGAGTTCCAGAAGTCTTTGAGGTGGGTTGGAGAGATGGCTCAGCTGGTAAGGTGATTGCCACCCAAACAGGAGAACCTGAGTTAATAATGCCCAGAACCCTCCCCTGTCTCTCTCCATGTCTCTCTGTCTCTGTCTCTCTCACATACACACAGGGGTTGGGGGAGAAGAGGGAGCACCTGAGGCAAAGCAACTGAAGTTTCTGCAAAGTAGTTCAAGCCAGAGCAGGCATAGGCACAGCACCCTCCCCCCACTGAGGTCCCCAGACCCCCCCACCCTCCCATCTCCCCCCCTCACCTCCCCCCCACACACACACATAGTCCAGAGGTTTCCACAAGTTCCTTTATTGATACAGCAAAAAGGGAAAGAACTAGGTCCCCTAGTGACCCACAGGATCGAAAAGTGCAAATTTACTCCAACTTCAAATGAAGATGAGAGTGACAGGCTTGACCCCTGGGGCCATGGAAACTGTGTGATCAAGACAGCCTTAATCACACCGTTGTGATAGCAGCCAACCAGGTCTGATTAACTCTTTGGTCTCTTTCATTGGAACAAACAGGCTGTAACTGAGACCCTCAAACTGTATCCCAGTGTTTGGGGTCAGAAGGCACATTAAAAACAGCCAGTGATGGAATGCTTCAAGTCAAGTGACTAAGACAAGGCAACCTTTTTCCCCCAAAAGGTGCTAAAATATTCCTGAATATCCAATACTTCCAAAACCAGATTCCGTATCAGTTAGATGCAGGTCTTACTCTATTTTCTCTGTGTACATGATCTGGGATTTGCTTCCCTCTCTTGACTTCCACTAGCATTATTCCCACCCCGTGTGCCATAAAAAATAAATAGATGTGTTACAGACAAGCAATTAAAGAAGAAAAAACTAACACACCACAGGGATAACAGTGAACCAGAAATGTGGGTGAGGTTCATTTTCTCCACATGGGAGAAATTTTCTTTGGGTAGACATGGGGAAAACCTCTTTGTCAAAGTCAAAGCCAGGAAGCCCAGTTCTGTGGAAAACATGACTTCCTCTGGGAGGTGACAAAAGATACTTTGGAAGCAGGCTCAGCTGGTGGTAATTTTGATGGGAGACACTAAGTCAGAAAGGGTTAGAAATGCTGGAAGAGAAGTCAGCCAGTGTTCTTGGAGGTGGGAATAGTATAAAGCCATGGAATTTGGCCCAAAGATGAATACTGGCTGTTTTTTTGTTGTTTTTGTTTTGCTGGTGTTTAATGCCTTTTAAGCAACATTGTGAAGTCCCAGGCCAGGTTACCATGGACAACAACCAAATAAATTAATTTTCATATAAGAACCAAATACAAAGAAAGAACTTATTCTGCAGTTGTGCCTCATTACTCATCTGCAAGCTCCAGCCAGGCCAAGAAGTTGACCCCAAATCACCAGCAAAGAAAAACCAGAAATAGCCCCCAAGTGTTTTAGTTGTGGTTCTCACTGGAGAGCCAGGCTTGCAATGGGAGCTCTACCAGAAACTGGGGATGTTATCTGTGGCTGTGTTAATTTTTTCTGTTGTTATTCCCATAATAAAGCTTAACTCTGACAGATAAAGCAGAAAGGAACTAGCATACTCCCTCCTATATATAAAACCATCATCTCCCTGGCAAAGAATATAACCTTATATATACTTGGGTGGAAGGCTAACTGTAAGGCAAGGGGTAGAAAAATGGTGGCTTCAGGTTCAACCAAATTTTTGTTCTGTGGCTTTAGACATTAAATTACTCCTTAAATTAAAAGCCATTGAGCTTCAGCCTTTTAATCTGAAATACCAATTCCTAGCTCCACCTTTTCTTTTCCCGCCTGGAGCTTAACTGTGGCTACCCTCTTTAAGGTAGGCACAGTGCCCCCCCACCTCTCCCCACCCTTATTTAGTTCCCTGCCTTTAATACTGAGTTTGTGACTCCTGGCTAGAAAAAACACATACCTAAAAACACATCTCCTCACCCAAAACTCTCCCACCCTCCCCTCCCGGGATCTTCTCCTGTCTCCCTCCTCCCATCTCTTCCTTTCACATCCATCTTAAGTGCCCCTTCCCCAAATCCTCAGATACTATTTGCATCCACTCAAACTTTCCTCTCTTTCCACTCCAACTTCATTTTGCAAAACACACATTCTCCCAGCCCACGAACATTCCAGGAAGGCTCGGAGCTGGGTAGTAGGAGTCACTGAATTGTTGGCTGCTGAGGGCTGAGTCATCGGCCTCAAAACAGTCTCTTTGGGCACTGGTTAAACAACTCTTTATGGGTTTTTTTTTTTTTTTTTTTTTTTTTTTTTTTGGTAGAGCGTCCTATATGAGAATATTGGTATATATGACTCTCCAGTACCAAATATACACACCAAAAATGTATACACATCAATTAGAGGCTGAGACAGTAGCTGTAATGAAATGCAGAACTAAGCTGAATTTAAAGGCCTTGGGCAGCCACCATAACAGCTGTATCATTGCATCTGTACACAGTACATGTTTCAGATCACTAAACATTGATCAAAATTGATCGAAATCTATTAAGTTTTGGTTGCCACATATTGAGAACAACTGTTCATCATGGCATTTAAATAAAACATTTTTTTTTAAATTCACAAACACAATGCCCATTAATTTAATAATAATAATAATAATAATAATAAAATTTAAAAACTTTGAGGATGGATGAAGCTTTGGTTAATAAACTAGAAAAAATAAAAATAACGGAAAAAAACCCTACAAGATACTTATACAAGCTATTCATATTTATGACAATAACCAGATTTATACTTTAAAATATCAAGAATTTTTAAAAAAGGAATCTAATAATTGGAAAATTGCCTCATTGCCCCTATTCTTACTTAATGACTACAGAGGAATTAAAAGGCTGTGTATGGAAATCATGTGCATAGTATATACACACAAACAGATACACACAACATGCATACGCATACCACACACACATACACACACACACATCCACACACACACACACACACACACACACACTTCCCTTGGCATTGACTTTTTAAAATAATTAAAACAAAACCCATTGTGCAGTTTCTATCCTTGCAAGAGGCTGACATAATGATGCCTACATCCAATGCCGTACCTTATGACCAAATGTTGGCCTCAAAAAAGTAGGAGTGATCTTAGGAATGACCTTGGGAATGACCTTGGGGTATCAAGAGAAATGGCTCCCCAAACAACTCAATGAGACAACTGCTTCTGCTTCAGTCCAGTTGCAAAGGACACAAGAAGCAAGCACAGCTCTAATGAGAAGTTTCCTACAATATATTACTGTCAGTTGCCAACCGGGTGTCCTAAAGAAAGGGGGTTTGCAGAGTTCCCTCCAGATAGCTAAGAAATTAAACAATGGCCTTATTCATGTGACTATTTTTAGACAAAATCCTTCACTTTAAGGAGTCTAAGGGAGCAGATCTTTGCTATTTAAAAAGAAAATCCCTAAGTATATTGCTGAGACTGACCACAATTTGCACTAGGAGACAGCAAGGTGGGACATTCTAAACTTGAACTGCCATTTGGAGCTGTAGCTGTCAGGAAGCCCAGAGTATGAGAGGCTCTTCCCAACTACAAGAGGGAGGCACCCAGCCTGGAGAAGCTCATGGCCCAGCAGAGCAGAACACTATAGGGCCAGCTCTCTCATTCCTCCTTCAGCTCCAGTGGCTCACTCTTCTGCCCACTGGTAAGAAGTGACAGGTCTCCAAGCACATACTGCAAGCAAGAGCTGGCCTTCAAGACTAGGTAAGGTTGTCTGGGCAATCAAGAACCTTCCAACTACTACCCCTACACAAGACATCACTGAAGCCTAACCCTTCCCAGGCAGCATGCCAAGCATTTTCTCCTCATAGGTCCCTAAACTCTAAAACAGACCTGCAATACCATTGCTCAGAAGCACTGAAACAAAGGCAGGTTGTGTCCTGCTGACAGGGAGCCTTAGGCAGGCTCTTTTTCAAGACTTGTATTTCACACTTTTGCCAGACCTGTCTTAATTGAGGATCTTGTTTCCTTTGCATTCTGCCTGGCTCAAATGAACAGGAGCTGAATACAAATCCCCACCTGTGACCTGGAGACTGTTGAATGGCAGCTGGAATAACTGTGTGGAGCCTCCTTTGAATAGCTGCTGGTTCCAACCACCACTGAACAAAAGGATGCATGGACATAAAGTGCTGCTTGCTCTGAAAGTCTCTAACCAGCTCCCGACCACCTCTCAGCACAGGTCATTTGATTTATGACAATTCCATTAAGTCTTGCTCAACAAACTTGTGATTGCACTATTAAAAATACATGAATGCTCTTGGGAATGGCTAAATTATGACTCTGGAATACTAACAGCTGGACTAGAATGCCAATTCCAGTTGCGGATAAGGATTTTTTTTCTTCCCCTTTAAAAACAAAACTAGGGGCCCACGATGTGTAGCTCTGTTGTGGAGTACCTATCGAGCAAATGCAAGGCCCAGGGTTCCAGTCCCATAATTGAAACACACAACAGCCCTCCAAAAATAGTTGAGAACCTACTAACAAATAGGTATGTCAAACATGATTGCTTCTAATAATTTGGAGGCAGAAAGATCTGTGTGTATAAGACCACCCAGGACACTCTAACGGGCTTGCAGAAGATGCCACAGCTATCTCAGGACAGAACATTTATGCCACCGAAGCCTCTGATGTCCTCCAAATTTCCCGACACTTTCTACAGCTTATCTCGAGTTTAACTGCCACCCTCACTCCCATCCTGTGAGAAAGGGGCATTTGGTCAGGTGGAGTGTAATCATGGTTCATGGTTCATCTTCGGGGAAGCCCTGGATGCGTTGACTTCGGGGTGGGAGGCACCTGGCAAGGTATCGGGGACCACCGTATGCTCGGAGAAGCTGGGGCAACCTTCGCCAGGTGGACAGCAACCGTGCTGCTGCGAGCTCCCGGGCTTGCAGGTCGAAAGGTGCCAGGAGGTCAACGGGAGCCGCCTCGCGCAGCACCTTGGGCAGGGGGCCCACCTCAGCGGCCGCCCCACCTGGGCCCAGGACACAGTGGAAGAGGTCTCGTCGGCGCAGCAGGCAGTCCCTAAGGAACTTCACCAGCTTCTCCAAGCACTCACTCAGGTGTGCCTCGTCCCAGCTGTGCGTTGGGCCACCCTCGTTCAGAAACACCGCCAGCAGCACCGTTTTGAGCACATAGGAAGACAGGATGCGTCCCCAGTGGGTAGCAGCCGAAGGGTCCAGCCCGCGAGCACCCAGGTCTCGAAGAGCCTTAAGCAGCTGCAGGCACTTGAGGTAGCAGGCACCTGGAGGCGCCCGTTCCTGAAGCCAGCCCAACAGTTTCTGCTCCTGGCGTGCTGTATTCACACCCCACAGTGCCTCAGGGCGCAGGCCACCCGGGAGCTCTGATAGAGCCCCACTTGGCGAGGGTGGTGGCGGCGGTGCCACAAGGAAGACGCCATCGCCCAGATGGACAGCGGGAATGAGGCGCACAGCCATGGAAAGGCGACAGCAGCCGTAGTCCGTGCGGCAAGGAAGGATATGGAGGGTGGGAGGCTGCTCCAGACCACCTGGAGTCAGGCTGACCCGACAGCGACCCTCCAGGCTGTAGCGCACGGTGGCCAAGGAGCGCTGTAGGTGCGCCTGGAACCAGCGCAGGACCAGGGTAGCCGAGAGGTGGCGACGGCCTTGCACATCCACACAGAACCCTTCAGCGAAGGGCTTGCAGTCACGATGCCACTGGCCAGTCGTGGTCCCCGATGGCGAGGGTGGTGCCTTAAGGGCACACACGAAGCAGCTACGGAAGGCGGGGGCCAGCGTGGGCTCGGTCCCCAGGCTCCGCGGCTCCAGCGCCACCTGCGGCGGGAGGCGCAGTGGCACCAGCACGTCGAAGCTGTCTGGCCTGCGGATTTTATGCTGCTCATAGGCACTGCCCACCTGGATGAAATCTCCCCGGAAGGCCAAGGCCAGCGATCCTCCGGTGATGAGACCTGGAGACCCTCGAGCCCGGCCAGCCTGCACCAGTTCACCCACGATCCGGCTCACGTGCGCCTTGCTGTGACCTAGCACATGCGGCGACAGGCGCACCTCGTGCTCATAGTAACTCTCCAGCAAGATGCTCAGGCCTGGCTCTTGCAAGGGTCTGGCTGAGAAGTTGGTGTGGCCACACGGGCGGGAAGAGCCTGGCAAGAGGCGCTGGCGGATGGTGTGGCGACATCGTAGGAGGATGTAGCCGAGGAGAAGAAGGATGGCCACCTTGAGCAGCGGGAAGCCACTGTCTGCGCCGTCGGGGGGCTCGGCCCTGGCGCCCTCACTGCTGCGCAGGGCATGGTAGAGGCACACCAGCGCTGTGCATAGCCCAGTTACCACCGGCCAGAAGACCTTCAGGTTAAGTGTGTACCGCACGGACATGCCGGGAGCCCGGGAGGCCCAGGGCGCGAGCCCAGGTGATGTCCCCTGCCCAGCATGCGCGCAGCGCCCCGGCGGCTCCGCAGCCCCCGTGTCCTTGGCCTTAGAGGCGGCTCCCCGCTCGCAGCGCCGGGGCCAGCAGCCCCGCTGCTCTGCCTCTCCCAGCTCAAGTTCCCCTTCCAGGCGCCGCCCGCGCTGCACACTCCAGCCCCTGGCCGCACCCTATCCCTGCCCTGCTCAGTCCCCGCCGCGCTGCCCTCGGTTAACTTCTGCTCCGGACTCCTACCCTACCCTGGGCGGCCCTTCTAGTTCGGCAGCCGCTGCGCACCGGGACGATCGGCCGGGTTACTCGGGCCCCGGGATTTTCTTCTTTCGAAGGGGGAAGGCCGCGCCGGGCAGCCGAGAGGAAATGCCTGAGTCTGCAGCCTCGCGGGGAGGGCGGCCCCCTCCCGGCCTCCGCCTGGATCGACGCCGGGTGGCCAGAGGGACTTCGGGACGTGCGGGAGACTGCCCTCCCGAGGGCTACTCCCGGGCCTCCTCCTGGAAGGCAGAACAGGGAAGGCCTGGTTCTGGGGAGGTGGCTGCATCGGATCCCGCAGTTACTGGGAAGTTGCTGGAGGAAGGCTCGCAGCCCCACCGCCTGGCCCTCCCTTCGCCCGGCCCCACCCCCAGCGTTTCCCGCTGGCGGCGTGGCAGGCCCGGGCGGGCGGAAGTGGCCCCTAGCAGTCTGAGACTGTGCTGATTTGCAAACCCACTTTCATTGAGCACCTACTATGCACTAGGCAGGAGCCTAAAGGCTAGGGATGTAGTTGACAGAGTGGAGGAGGCTTTCCTTCCAGCCAGTCTCTCAAGGTTACAGCCATGTAAAAAGGGACTATGAACTAGAAAGGTTGGTGACCATCTCTGACACCTGTACTCAGGAGGCTGTGGTCATGAGTTCAAGGCCGCCACGGGCTGCATAGGCAGACCCCGTCTCAAAAACAAAGACCCCACAGGCAGATGTTCTGGAAGGAAGCTGACAGAAGGAGTAAAAGGGTGATCCTCCAGGGGTGAGTCCATACCCCACCCCCAGTCCTGCCCAAACTATGGGGTAGCTAAGGGGTGGTATTGGGCCTGAGAAGGAGAGCTGGAGCGAGGAGATAATGATAGTTTTTACAGGGCTGGAGTCAGGCTTGATGCCCAACCTCACCACCTGAGTTTGATCCTGGAACCTACATAGAAGAGAGAGAGAGGCACTTCCCCAGTTACCCTCTGAGCTTCTTATATATGCTTGTGAGTGAGCACAACACATACACAGAGAGACACAGTAAATGTTTCTAAAATGAAATGCTTTTATTTTGAAAAGGACTTATGCCTGCATTAGTCACATGGCACACATTCACTCTGTACTTTAATGCTAATACATACTGATTAGACACTAACACTAATATCTATTGCTAATGGGTAGTACCTTCTCTGCTTTTCCCATAGGGAAACTGGGACTCAGGCAGGTCTGACGATTGCTAGAGGTCACATGGCCTTTGCAGAGCTTTGTCTTGAACTTGGATGCTCACATCTGGAAGAGCCAGAGGGCAGGATGCCCAGGGAAGAGACCACAGGTCCCTTTACATCCTCTGAGCATTTTTTATGAGTCTAAGTGCTTCCAGGACTCTGCAAGCACCTGGAAAGCCTGTGCTTTTTCATAGCATGGATACTCCCAGGAGCATTCTGAATTTGAATAGTCATCTGTATTTGTTCATACTTAATTATACCTGTGTAAGTAGAGCTAGGGTGAGTGAATGAACTATAAAGCATATGAGAGCCCATCCATGGTCTGGAACCAGAACACAGGCTCCTCCTAGCATTAAAACAGATCTTGATTGAGCCGGTTGGTGCTAAGCATAAGTGTGTGTGTGTGTGTGTGTGTGTGTGTGTGTGTGTGTGTGTGTGTTGTGTTCACTCACATGCATATATAAAGACTATAATTAGGTGCTATTCCTTGGGTCCACCTTGTTTTTTGAGACAGGGTCTCTCACTGGGGCCCGAGATTGCTGACTCAGCTGGTCACTGAGCTCCAGGGATCAGATTGTTTCTACCTCCCAGATGCCGGAACCATAAGCTAGTGCCATCATGTCCAGCCCCTTCACACTGACCTTCCTCCAGTGATTCTGGGGATGGAACTAGAGTTTTCATGCTTGTGAAGCAAATGTTTTATTGACTTAGCCATCTCCCCCAGCCTCCACACCTGTTTTAGATCCCACCTGTGCTGGTTCCAGAATCCTGGGGGAGTCCTAGGGAGCTGCTGGTCTTCAGTTGATGCTGGGATTCCAAAGAAGTAGGTTCTACCATCCATGAAGAATGCCTCAGCAGCAGGAACCAAGAACAGATGAACTTGCCAGCAAGAGTGAGGGCAGGTAGACAAAAAAAAAAAAAAAAAAAAAAAAAAAAAAAAAGCTTCCATCTTCTGTGTCCTTTTATTTAGGACGTCACCAGAATCTAAGGACCAGATTTAGGGTGAATAGTACCACTTCAAATGATCTAATCAAGAAATCCCTCACAGACATGCCCCCAGCTGCTTAGGTTTTAGTTGATTCCAGATGCGGTCAAGAGGGCAACCAAGATTTGCCATCACACACCCACCCCTTGACAACCTGAGACACAGTCACATCACCTGATGCCATGCTTAATTTCCAAATGAAAACAATAACTGGGTCATAATTTTGCCAAACATGACATAACTAGCCACATACCATCACTAATGCAGTATATATTTTAGAAGAGGGGGCAATGTCTCTTAAGGAATGCTTAGTCTTCTAGTGTCTCATGATATGATAATAATCACTGATATTATCTCAACCTATATTATATTACATGATAGAGAAATAGAAGAAAGTGAAAATATCTGCTTAATGTTCGTGTTCCTACATGATAGAGAAATAGAAGAAAGTGAAAATATCTGCTTAATGTTCGTGTTCCCATGTACAAACACATTCTTAACAAAAATACAACAGAAACACATCAATTATAATCCTCATGTCCGCAATTAGTCATGTGGTCTCAGCTGATATTTATAATTACCTTTCTCAGCCAGGCGGTGGTGGCCCACACCTTTAATCTGAGCACCTGGGAGGCAGAGACAGGCGATCTCTGTGAGTTCAAGACCAGCCTGGTCTACAGTGAGTTCCAGGACAGCCTCCAAAGCAACAGAGAAACACTGTTTCAACTCCCCCCCCCAATGAAACAACAGCAACAAAACACATACACCTTTCTCTTCTACCCATTCTGTATTTCCTTCACCCTCAGCAGGTCTTGGCTCTTTTCCTGGAGGAGTGACCCACCCCTTCATTCCTGGGGGTTGGTACCGTATCTGGCAAGGCTCAGTGTGGGTCTCTGTTCTTGGATGACCTGGCACTCAGCAGCAGCTGTAGCCAGGTCAGTTTTGGTGACTGGAAGTTGCTGATCCCATACATAACCTGCATTTCTACCACCATAGCTACTTTGTTCATGGACCTATTGGGCAATGACAGGAAAGAGGCTGACTGTCCACAGGGTGAGTATTAGACTAGCTAACAAGTTGACAGGGATGAAATACAGCCAGACATTGTTTAAGGAGAAACATGTATTGCCTGTGGTGAACCTACTTCAGATTCAGCTGGATCTAGCTCCCATAATCCTATGTGTACCTGCTTTCCCTCTGTCTCTTAACTCTGGATTCTCCTAAACGGGCTGAGCTTTGTAAGGTCACCCCTCTCTATATGCCATGACTAGCCTAGCCTCACATTTTTTTATGGGTTCAGAGGGAAAGAATCTTGGCTTTCCCAAAAGTTGTGATCAATGTTGTGCCTTGGGATAGTGTCGGGTCATGTGTGAAAAGTGACCAGGTAAGAAAGGGCACTGATTGCCTTCCCCTGGATGGTACTCCCATCTCCAAATTCTGTGTTGAAGTAAACCCTCCAAGATGACTGAACATGAAGATAGGGCTTTGGGACATTCACTAAGGTTAAATGAGGTTGTAAAGATTGGGTCCTCATCTGATATGATCTGTGTGATATGTTCTCTTGTGAGGATGCCTGGCTGTGGGCACTCACAAAAGAAATATCATGAGGGCACAGGGAGGGTGTCCATCTCCAAGCTGGGAAAGCAGCCCTCCTCGGAAACTAAACCCTGGCAGAACCTCCTGGCCTCCAGACCCAGGCCTAGATAAAGTCCCATTGTTTAAGTCTCTCAACCTGTGGTGTTTGCAGTCAGTCCAAGCTAACTAATGTGCTGGGTACCCAGCCCTCGGAACAGGACACAGGGTCACTGTGGCAGGGGTGTTTCCCCAGAGAAAGTCACAATACTGAAGGAAGAGGGGTAGGGGAGAGCAGAGGCTGCCCAGTTTTGTCTTAACCTTGCTTTTCTCTGGTCATTGCATCCTTAGAGTAGGAAGGGTTGTGACACTTACTAGGTGAGTAATCGTCCCATATTAGATATGGTGGCACACTATCTCCTACCCCCCAACTAATGGCAACGCTGTAGATCAGAGGTTGGCAAACACTTTTGTGACAACCCACCCTATGAATAGTGTCAGATGGTGAGCCAGACTTCCACAACTGCTCAGGTCTGCTCAGTAGCCCCGGCAAAGCTCTGTTCACTTCCTGGGGCCACCAGAACAAAGTTATACAGAGTGGCTCAAACATGAAACTATCAGGCATGGGGACACCCACCTGTAATCCTGAGACTTAGAAAGCTGAGGCAGGAAGATCATAAGCTTAGAGCCAGCCTGGGCTACATAGTGAAATCCTGTCTCAAAATATCAGAAAGACAAAATTTCTTCCTAGTTCAAGAGGCTTCTGTAGCAAAACCACATGGTTGACCAGGTTCTTCCTCCTCCTAAAGCTCCCGAGTAGAACCTGTCCTAGTCTCTGTGGGAAGTCCTTAGCATTCCTTAGCCTGTGACCATAACATTGCTACCCCTGCCTTCTCTCAAAGCTAGCTTTTATGCATCCTGCCCAGTCCCACAGACACTTATAAAATAATCACTCTGAGGCTTAATATTATTATAATTGTTTGGCCAATGGCTCAGGTATATTACTAACTAGCTCTCCACATTTAAATTAACCCATTTCTATTAATCTATATATTGCCACATGGCTGTGGCTTATTGGTAATGCTCTGGCATCTTACTCCTCTGGTGGTTACATGGCACCTCCCTGACTCTATCTTCTTTCTCTCTTTATCTCTGTATGGATTTCCTGCCTGGCTCTATTCTGCATGTTTATTGACTAAATCGGCTTCTTTATTAATCAATGGTAATATAACATATTCATAGCATACAGAGGGGCATCCTACATCAATCTCTTCCCAAGATGAAGTCATACTAGGACAGAGTGGGTCTTAAAAACCTCTTACTCATGGTCATGGGTATTGAACCTAGGCCCTCACACATGTTAGGCAAATGATCTCCCACTGAGCTATATTCCAAGCCCTTCCTGTGGTTTTTCAAATTTTTGACACAAGCTCTCCATACACACACATACACATACACATACATACACATTCACACACACACACATATACACACATACATACACATAACACACACATATACACACACACACTCACACACACCCATACACACACATACACACATACATACACATAACACACACACACATATACATAC